TGTTTGTATGTGTACAACGGGCGGGGCTCAGTGACAAGCGGGGATTGGGAGAAACATATATATGTATACCAAGCGGGGCTCGATGCTAGGCGGGGCCTGATGTTGGACTCTGTCTGATGCCGGATGGGGCCCGAGGAAGGGGCGGGGGCCCAATTTATGTGATTATGTGTATGATATGTGGTAATTTGGGGAGACTTACTAAGCTTCGTGCTTACAATTTTCAGTTTTTGATTTAGGTACTTCCGGTAATAATGGGAAGAGCTCGAGATGACTGCAATGCAAACACCATTTGTTTAGTCTGGGATGTTTTACTCTGATTTGGATGAAATGATTTTGATGACTATGGATTATTTAATAATTAAAAATGAAAATTTTGGTCATAACTTTTGGGATGTTACATTAACATGCCTACAGCTCCACCTTCTCCGACTACCACTTCATCTTCGATTTCCACCACCACACCAATTACCATTGCTCCATTCCTAAATGTGTCTGTCAGAATTTCGCAACCACAAATATCATTTCCTCTATATATCGAATTTACAACAACTACTACAACCTTCAGTACTCTGATGTCGAATGTCAACGTATCTGATACGGTGGCATTTCATTTTGGTGTGTTTGTTGGTCCAAACACTTTCATCGCACCCCCACTGAGAGCAGATAATCCTAATGTCTTGTTCGGAAATGTCCGATATGATTTTCAAAACTTTGTCTTTAGCCCATTCTCTATTAGACAAATCGGCGATGATGAAGCAATTCCCATGACAAAGGGTCGTTCAAAAACCTTAACGAAAAACTTGATTCTTTACTCCAGTCTTCCAAATCCTCATCAAATTATGAGTATCTGTTCGAGTCATATAACGCTATGATTGAGACATTGACTAAGGAGCATGCCAAAAACATTGTTGAATCCACCAAGACTGTTGAAAATTTAGAGAAAGTAGTTCGTGAAACGACCGAAAAATTTGAAAAACTACTTTCTGATGTTCAAACATTCATGGCTGACTTCCGAGCCTCCTCATACCACAATACTGAAGCTGCTAATAAAACTATAGAAGGTCTCGGAGCCTCTCTTCGGCTTGAGAGAAAAGCTTTATCTAAAGTTCGAGCTACACTCAAAGTTGATAATGCCGAAACGACAAGCTCGATTGTCTCAAAAATTGAGAAGCTTCAGGATGATCATGCCACTGAAAATGCCATCATGGACAAACTAGCTTAGAAAACTGAGATAGTTAAAGTCCTTTCTGTCAAGTTGAGTTCTACGATCATGCGACTGGATTCCCTTGAATCTGAAAAAGGTTGTCTTCCGAAGCTGCATTTATGATATTAATGAGTATCTACAATGAATGTTGGAGACTCGTGATTCAATTTTCACTATTTCTGTCAAATAGCACCTTTCCGAAAAGGTCAAACCTGTGCTCAGATTGCTTAATCAGTTAGAAGGTGTTTCGGGAAGTAGTGTTATTCTGAAACAAGGGGGAGAACAGGTTAGTCAAGAAAAGATTAAGGAGGATCCACCCCAACCGAACCCAAAAGAAAATTTTGATGAGCAACATGAAGAAAAACCGAAAGTTGACCAGAAGGATAATGAAGCTTCTAGGTCAAAAGGTAAAGGAAAAATTATCGATGACGAAGAAGAAGAAGAAGATCTATCTGAAGCTGCATAGCTCAAAATAAAGAAACATGATAAAGAACTCGATGAGCTTATGTGTGTTAATCGAGAAGCTGAAGCTCGTGAAAAAGAAGCTCGTGATGCGTAAATCACTCTTGCAACCCAGAAGACTCTCTTTCCTCCTTGGTAGATGGAAAGGATTTTGAATGAAGCTGTTGAAAATCTGAGCACTCATTGGTTAGAGCCAACTATCTCATTTGAGCTGGAGAATACTTCAGAGTCCCAACTTGATTTTCCAATCACTCCAAGGTCATTCTTGTTCAGATGCTTTGAAAAAGGTTGAGAAAGCTCCGCTTTCGGATTATGATGTCAATCACATGCTTTTCTCCTTTTATCTAAAGTATGGAAGGCCACAATACGAGACTTAGAGTTCAAAGAAGATAGTTGTAGTAAAGGTTTTTGGACCTGTTGAGACTAAAAACTTCATTAACATTGGGTTCAAAGTAGTCCGAGGAGCAACAAATTTAGTTTTTGAGTTTACTCTTGCTGACTTGCCTTGCCAAAATCCATATGATTGGATTTCCTTGTTCTCTCTTCTATCCAAGGATGTACAAAAATATGAACCGATCTTGGCTCATCTAAAGAGAATGTTAGTCTGCTACATTCAGGAGTTTTGGAAAAATGGATGTGGAGATAGCAGCGATTCTGAGAAAGAAGTGAGTTCTGAAATCCAAAACTGAACCGAAAGATCTTGACAATATGAGGCTAGGAAAAATCCGAAAGGATAACCGGAGTGTGGGGTTTCAACAACGAGAAGGTGAAAAAGTTCGGAAGTGTTCGTTCTTTTTGTTGGACAAGCACTTGCACTCTACGAAGTGTCTGAACTACATCTTGGAGATAACCGAAGCATGTAAAGCGAATGAAGCCTCAAAACACTTTGCTCAGACTAATGTTGAAATTGTTTCAAGTTCAGAAATGTTAGTAGCAGTGAAGAATCTAGCTTTTTAATTAACACAAAGGGGGAGATTGTTAGGATAAATAATGTTGTGTCAATTCTTTTGTACTAGAATAGTCCATCTTGTAATGGGTTGGGCCTGTCCACCCAAGTTTTAATGATATTAGGGTTAGACTATTTATAGTGCATGCATACACTGTTTTAGGGTTACCTAGTTGTGTTGTCCTACGTAGTCTTTACATAGAAGCTCTTGTTGAACTCTTCTAAGGCTATTGAATCTAATCATTCGACACCATTTTGATCTTTATTGTTCTTATTGTTTTGTTGATTGCACTTGTTAGAATGTATCGATCAATTCTTTATTGTTTCGACACATCCTAAACATGCCGAGTTCTCCAACTTGGTGTGTTCAACTTGAAATAGGTTTACTCTCAACAATTTCTCCTCAAGATTTCGGGCATTACACTTAATCCATTCATCCCATATACACCATAAAGTTTGCATTTGTATGCTTAAGGGACCCCTAAAATGTCCAAATCTAAAAGGTTAAGCTTATGAAATGGCCCTAGCTCACAAGGACCACCCAAAAGGGACCAAAATCGCCATAAACAAGCCCAAAAGAAGATTTATACAAGGAGTTGACAAGTTATGAACTTTATACCTCGAAAGGCTAGCAAATGACGAGCTAATCCCTGATCCTCAAGCTCAAAGCACAACTCCAAGTGGTCCACTTCTTCTTCTCCTTCACAAAATACCAACAAACACTCTTTATGACTCAAAACTCTCACGAACACACTAAGGTTTCGATTTCTAGACAAGGGAAGGTGGAGGTTGGCTAAACATGACCAAATGAGGCTATCACAAGGTTTAAATATGGTGCAAGCCCTAGAAATTAGGGTTTCATTCAAGCACGTATGCCATGCGTACTCTACATATGTCATGCGTACTCCACGTACGCCTAACATATGTGGATGAGCTCCACTACCAACTTCGGGCTAGTACGTTAAGCGTACCACCCTATACGCTTGACGTACTAGCTTAAGGACTAAAATGAAAGGTTTTGTCAAAAAGGGTTAAATGCGAAACTTACCAAATTCAAGTGTTACACGGTGTGACCTTCATCTAATAAAAAAAAATCCTCAAATACATTCACAAATGAATGTGTGTTGATTGTGCAAAAGAAGCATACATATCCTTTACATTACAAGAAAGATGTGTCCAACACATGCCATGAAGCTGCATATAAATGTATGTTTATGTATGCTTATTGATTTTTTATTACTTTTATGAAAATAATTTACTTGTAGTTATTACTGATCAATGTCATTAAACATTTTAGATAATTGAGATTTACACGTGCATCGAAAGAAATTTATGTTATGCAAAAATACAAGTTAGTAATTGATGAACAACGATGTACTATATATAAGTATCATCAATGATATTGGTCCATCTTGATGGGACCACTCGCATATAGGGATGAGCGTAGGCGGGTACCCGCCTCATTTGGCGAAAACCAGAACCGGAACCGGAACCGCTCTAGGCAGTTCTTAAATGTTTGGAACCAGTCCCGGAACCGGCGGTTCCGGTTCCGGGAGCGGGTAACCCGGTCGCATTAATTTTGTTAACTTTTTTTGACAAAACCACAATTTAGTTCGATCTGAATCAAATCAATTCGGACCAAAGACGGATAAAATCGTAACCAATATATTCTAAACCGGTCTAAGTAACACACGTTTATATATATATATATATATATATATATATATATATATATATATATATATATATATAAACCGGTTCCGGCGGGTACCCAGCGGGTAGCGGTTCCGAAAAAACGAGAACCGGAACCGGAACCGCTTAAGGCGGTTCCATAACTTTAGGAACCGGAACCGGAACTGCCTAAGGCGGTTTCCGTTCCAAAACCGGCAGTTCCGAGGTGGTTCCGATTCCAAAAGCGGGTACCCGGTTCTGATGCTCATCCCTACTCGCATACATATGCATAACTTTATCATGAGTTCTCTCTTACAATGCAATCTAAAAAAAACAAGCCATACGAATTTAGTGATCGACTTCTTAGTTGTGTCCTTATGGAAATGTCTAAATAAAAAGTAACATCTAAGTTTTAATTATCAAAAAAATATCCTCTATAAAAAATGGCCTAACACTAATTCTTTTTTCATTTCATCAATCATTAGTATATTTTGTTAATATTCTGCTAAAAATAAATTGATTATAGTAATATGGTACATTTGGTAAATAAAACCAAACCGGTTAATAAAATATTATTTATTCAAACTAAAATCCAAGATACACAATTATCAAAACTTCAGGGTACAAAATGATATCAGTTAAAGCATTTGGACTAGTGATGTAATTTCTCTTATAAGTTTCAAAATCTTCACGAACACATATTATTTATTTTTGGGAGTGGGGGCATATATGCAGTTATACACAATATATTTATATGTTTATATATACACACACATCTACATGTGTATGTGTCAAGTCTATTCTAAAGTGTTTGAAGATTGATTTCCCTTCCACTGATTCAGATTTGACTGCGAGGTTTGCTTTTTTCGCTAATTTAATTCAATTCGTTAATTTATGGTTTCGTTTTCGGATTTTAATCACCGCGTGATCATGATATCGTTGAATTTCTTCTCTTTCATTGGTTCATGTTATTGGCTATAAACAGTACTTCAATTAGCTCTGTTTATGGTTATGGAATGTCCTAATGATATTGGAACGTTGAAACTCTTAGAACGTGAGAGTTAGTTTGAAGAAGCTCAATTTGAATACTTAGGGTTTTGGATTTCGTGAGCTTTTCACTTTGAAGTTTGATTCGTTTCTGTGATCTAAGTAAAAACTGCTTGACGAAAATCTGGGAAAAAAGCATGGTAGTAGTGTTTTTTGAAGGTTGATGTCGTGGCAAATTATGCTTGGATTGAAAACGGACTCTAGGGCTTGTAAGTATGTTAAAAAAATGGCACCCACCTATGTTTTGGGAACCGTGTCTTCATCTGTGTGATAGGAATAAACTGTAAAAGCGTTGAGGAGCAAGAAAATCTATAAAGGAGGCATGAAATCTACAAATTGATTCGAATTTTTTCTTTTTAGCCTAAAATTATTGAAACTTTTGGGAAAATCTAGAAAAGGAGGGGTGTGGGGGTGGGGGTGTATGGCATCTGCTAGCTTCCTCCCTGGCTCTGTTGATAAAAGTATATTCTGATGGTTTTTTCGGGTATCTGAAATCATCTGTGTTTGTTATGATGTGCTTTTTCTTTTTGGCTGATGCCTGATGCTTAATTCTAGTCTTTGAAAGATTATTTCTCAAATTTGTATTTTACCTGTCAATGCAACTACTTAACTTTAGCCCCAATTAGACCATGAACCCCATATGAGTAGTGACTAATATACAAGCTAGTGCACAATACTTGTTCATGTACATGCATATATGTCTAGATATCAGGTCACCGTTATCATAAAAGGGGACTTGATGTGAGATATGTGATTGAGGGTATCACATATAATTAATGCAATTCAGCAATTCTTATTCTCAACTTCAAATGCAATGTGTTTGTATTTTATCTTTTACTTCTTGTGTAATAGTGTCATCTATCAACACTATTATCTTTACAAATCTTTTGGCAATACTAGATGCAGAAAGAATATCAGCATGTATTTTGATCTCGTGTGTGTGTGTGTGTTTATTTTTAGGTTTATTAAGTACCCATTGTTGTTGTGGGACCATGATAAAGGAGAATGGTAGTAATGTCCAAGTTACACATGGTGGAAGGATTCGGCGTCGTAAAGGTTCAAATGAGGTAACCATGCAACTATAATTAACTAATGATATAATTTATATAATTACATTTTGCAATTCATAACAAGTAAGTGTCTTGTTCCTTTTTCTTCATTAAGTCCTGTATAGATAAAGTGGCTGAATGGGTAATGATGTATGTCTGGATAGAGTGCTTGTCCATATAAAGTCTGTTTCTTTTCAAGAATGAATAAGCCATTTGAACTAGACTAAATGACCCTTTTATCCTTACATTACAAACAGGTAAAGGGTTAGTGTCTTAATACATTAAAAGGCAGATTTTTTTTTGGCTTAACCCATTAAGTCATTCTATCCGGATTGAGTAAGAAAACAACCATATATACCTGTCAAGATTAAGTGCTCAACTCATTAAGCCCATTAAGTAAAAAAGAAACAGGCTCTAAGTCTTATATAAAAGTTATAGATTTTGAGGTTTATCTGTAAAAATATCAGGTTCCAGGTGATGTAGGCCAATCGAATGGAAACAACCACTTGCTTGTAAATGATCAAAATAAGTACAGATCAATGTTGATTCGTGCTTATTCAAGTATTTGGATGATTGGTGGTTTTATATTTGTTGTCTACATGGGGCATCTTTATATATGGGCCATGGTTGTTATTATACAAATCTTTATGGCAAAAGAACTCTTTGGGTTACTGAGAAAAGTAAATGAAGACAAACAACTCCCAGGATTTAGGCATTTAAATTGGTAAGAAAAATACTTCATTTTAATTTTTAACAAAAACCCATATTTTTATTCTATGTAAATATTCAAGATTATCAATTCTTACTTGTTATTTATTTTCAGGCATTTCTTCTTCACAGCAATGCTATTTGTATATGGTCGAATACTTAGTCAAAGGCTGGTCAATACTGTCACAACAGACAAGTTTTTATATAAAATAGTGGGAAATCTTATCAAATATCATATGGTTACCTGTTATTTCCTTTATATAGCAGGTTGGTGTTATAATTATTATCAGGAAATTTACTGGAAAAACAATTATATTTTGGGCAATTTGGTGGTTCAACTACTTGTACTTTTTTTTCTCAATCAAGTTTCTTTATAACATGTCAAAATGGTTAGTTTGGAAATTATAAAACCTGATATAACAAAATTAATTAATTTATTTATTTACTAAAAGTTGATGCATATGTTGTTGGTTTAGGTTTTGTGTGGTTCATTCTGTCACTAAAGAAAAAGATGTACAAGTATCAGTTTGGGCAATATGCATGGACACATATGATCCTTATTGTGGTTTTCACTCAGTCCTCTTTCACAGTAGCCAATATTTTCGAAGGGATATTCTGGTAATTTTAGTATATTAATGTTGTCATATGAGTTAAGATCCAACTTTCTTACATAGACAATCAGAATGAATAAATCAATTGTCACACAGGTTCCTCCTTCCTGCATCATTGATTGTGATCAATGACATTGCTGCTTATTTTTTTGGATTTTTCTTTGGAAAAACACCTTTGATTAAGTTATCACCAAAGAAGACATGGGAGGGATTTATTGGAGCTTCTGTTACAACAATTATATCTGCCTTTGTGGTCAGCAAATTCTCCTTTAAATTGTGGAATATCTTTACTGTTATTATTTAGTTTGAAATGATGTTATATGATGACATTTTGTGTACTCTTTTGTTATGTGCAGCTTGCTAATTTTATGGGTCGTTTCCATTGGTTAACATGTCCCAGAAAGGTAGCTTAGTTTATTTGTGAATCACTTTTTGTTTTAAAAAGTATATATTTTGGTATGATGGAATCAGGGATGGAATGTTCATTCCATAAGGAATGTGATTCCTTTCATTTTGTTAATTTTGATTCAAGTGTGTTCTTTTTCATTCCATCATGGAATGGAATGCAAAATTGCAACATAATACATTTTCATCTGTGTAATTTTTAATGACACAGAACAAAAAAATATCATTTTATTATAAACTTATTTGGGTTTTAAAGAACGTTTATGTTCAGTTTCTTATTTTCGTAAAAATAAAATTGTTAAATATAATATATAGAATAGCATTCGAATTATATATTGTATGTACATACTACATATAACATAAAAATTCATAATAAAATCCATTCCATTCCATTCCATTCCTACGGGATATTACCACACATTGTCACAAAATGTAATGACTAATTCCATTGCAGCATACATTCCATTCCGTCCAACTCCAACAAAACACACCCTAATTATTATTATTATTATTATTATTAATCAACACATTGATTTTATAAATTGTTGTACAGGACCTATCAACTGGTTGGCTCCAATGTGACCCTGGCCCACTTTTTACACCAGAGACCTTCATTTTACCTGGATGGCTTCCTGAATGGGTAACATTAACATGAATAGAATTACCAATTCCATTCCTTCATTTCCTAGTTAGAAAATTATACACTTCATGAAAACTTTGTTTTTTTCCATCATTTACACAAATGAGAGAGGATCAGAACATTGAACAAAGATCAAATTCCTTCATTAACCGAATTTCTAAATTCCAATGGAATGGAAATATGGAATTGATTTTTTTTTTTTTTTTTCTTTTTTCTTTCCCCTTTTCAGTTTCCATGGACAGAGATGCAAGTTCTACCGGTGCAATGGCACGCATTGGGACTTGGACTTTTTGCTTCAATTATTGCACCTTTCGGTGGCTTCTTCGCTAGTGGTTTCAAAAGAGCCTTCAAGATCAAGGTTCATACATTTTTTTTTTTTTTTATAAAATTCAAACCATATTATATATTATCATTTGTAATTACCTAATTTAAATTATTCTCTTCCATTTGCTATAGGATTTCGGGGATAGCATTCCTGGACATGGTGGAATGACAGACAGAATGGATTGTCAAGTACGTCCCATTAAAAATTCAAAACATTTCTTTATTTCCGTATTTATTTATTTTTAATGTTAAATGCAAGAAAAGAAATTACAACGTACTTTGATTTACTCATGCAGATGGTGATGGCTGTCTTTGCATACATCTACCATCAGTCGTTTATTGTTGCCCAGAGCGTATCAGTTGGGATGATTTTTGACCAGGTATGATGATATTTATAAAAATATATATTTTTAAAAATAATTTGTATTAAATTAGTTATTGTACTAATGTAAATATTTGTATTCAGATTGTGATGAATCTGTCATACGAGGAGCAAAAGGTGTTGTACAATAACCTAGGACAAATACTACAAGACAGGCAGTTTGGTGAATCTTGAAGAAGATGACAATTACATTTTTGATTTGTACTATGTTTGACTTTTGTTATGATCGTTTTTTGTGGTATTGCATCATATCATATACAATACATATGTGTATAGTGGTTGGTTGCTCTATCCCTTTGTTAAGAATGTAGATGGAAATGGTATCAAACAAACACACATGTATCCATCCATTATTTTTGTATCATTTTCATTTTTTTTTTTTTTACTTTCTCTTTTAAATTTATAAATTATCAATCAATGTAAAAATTTATGATCCTTCTCGATTTATCACCCTTTTCATTTTAGCTATTATCTATTTCACTCACTGAGTCAGTCAATTACATAAATCATCCATATTCGAAATCACTCTACATGTAAAAAACCACCAATTCATAGTTAGATTTCAACGAGGCATTCCAACGTTTTATTCCCTTCTTCTACTACCCTAACAACACGCTCAACTACACAATTCCAAGCAAAATAATCAGGAACAATTCCCTTTTCCACCATCTCCATAAACAACATCAACCCCTTATGCAAATCCCCTCTCTTACAATACCCATCAATCAAAGGACTATAACTACCCGAATCCACCTCCCAACCTCTTCCAACCATATCCTCCAAAAATAGCATAGCACTTCCAACTTTACCCTCACCACAAAGCCCATTAATCAAATCCCTAATAATCATAACATCAGGAACATAACCACGCGACACCATCACATCCACAATCTCAAAAGCATCTCTCACCATATTTTCTTCACAAAACCCTCGAATCAAACTGATATAAACAAGAACACTTGGGATTCCACCTTCTAGAATCATCTCATCGTATATCTTTTTCGCATTTCCCATTCTACCCTCCTCACAAAATGTTAATATCTCTTTGCTTCTATCAACAGTTCTCGGAAATTTTGTCCCCATCTTGGTTAAAAAGTCAAGAGCTGAGTCAACTAGGGTCGCTTTATAGAAACCATATATGATGCTGTTATAAGGACTTATATGATTTAAAGAACCACATTTACTATCCTCCATTACTTCCAAGATCGTATGCCCATCTTCTACCCTTCCTTTTGAACAAAACCCGCGAATTAAAATATCAAATGTATCAAAATTCCAAATGATCCCGACCCTTTTCATCTCATGGAACATATCAAGAGCCGAATCGAACAAACCCAACTCACAAAATCCATATATCAAAGAATTATAAGTGTCTGCATTTGGAACAATACCCTTCAACTCCATCTCCTTTAAAAACCTATGTGCAGCCTTTGGTTTTTTGATTTTACAGAAACCCTTCACAAGAGTGTTGTAAGCCACCACATCAATCTTGCCACCTTTCTTCTCTACCCTTTCTAAAACCTCCACTGCCTCCATGGCACGATTCTTGTTACATAAAAGTTCCATTATTTTGGTTATTGTGATGACATCAGGGACAAATCCAAGATTGAAACACTTTTCTAACATCACAAGTGCTTGAATTATGTTATCTTCTTTACAGTATGCGGTTATTAAGATATTGAAAGTGACACTGTTTGGGTTTTCTATCTCTTTCATCAAACTCCTGGCCCTTCCTACCCCAAGTTTCCCATTCTTGCAAAGAGCATGGAGTAAGGTGTTGTATATGACAGTGTTTGGGGGGATACTGTTTTTCTTCATGAATTGTAAAAGCTTAAAAGCATCTGATATGCGATTTGTCATGCAAAGTCCCTTTGTTAAGATCCCGAAAGTGTACATATCGCCTTTAACACCACAAGCCATCATCTTGCGTCTGTAAAAGCCTCTGGCTATGTCAATATCTTCTTTAACAAGAACATCGAGTATTGTGTTGTAGATTTTCAGGGTGGGTTTTTCTTTGAATCTTGAAACTAAGTCAAGAACATTGATTACTTGTCTGACCATTCGAGCGTTGCCTAACCCACGGATGATGGTTATGAAGACTGTATCGTCTGGGGGTGAGCCGATTGAGCTGGGCATTTCATCGAGCAGTTGGTGGATGGTGTCGAAATGACGAAAAGCACAGAGCTTGTGGACAAGAGCTCTGTAGGTGGATTGGGTGTGGGTGAAATGGGGGAGTTTGGACGCCCATCTGAAAGTGTTAAGAGCTTCAGATGCTGACTTTTGATCTAATATGAGGTGGGAAATCTGGTCATGAGTGGGAACAGGGGAGGTTATCGAAATGGATCTTGATTGGGTGTTGTAAAGTTTATGATTTCTTTTTGACCTGAAGAAGATGGATAGATTCTTTGACGAATTGGAGAAACTGATCATGAATATATCAAATTAAAACTGAACAAGAGCAAATGACAACCGAAGAGGGAAGAATCCTTAAAAACTAAAATTCAACTCGTCATATGTTCTAGTCTTATTTTTATACAAATAAATTGATGGAAAAATGATCATTTATTGTGATTAATCCATATGTCACTTTACAACACCTGATCACATGGAATAATTAAGTCAAGACGATGACTCTTTATAGTCTATATAAGAATACGTATACTGAATACATACTAAAACCACGTCTACTTTCATCAAAGTGTCATCATTTTCCTCACCAATTATCACTTTTTTTTTTTCCAAATTAATCTCATGTCAACATTTTCTCCACATTTTAACAACATTCAAAAACACTCATCTGAAATTCTTTTCCTGATAGTTTAATTTCGAACAATTAACCTTCAATTTTTGTAAAGTTCGATACTTTTTTTTAATGATGGATTTGTTTGATTTGGTCAATTCGTTCATCGAGAAAGGCTACGACGTTGTTGTTGATGAAGAAATCGGAAGAATTGACGACGATCATAATCCCGATGACGATGAAGATTTTGATGTGATGAAGAATACGATTAAGGATTCACTGAAGAGATTATTTGCATTTGACAACGGTGATGAAGCAAGAAAAAAGACTACAGTAGAAGTTCAAAAGGCATGACGACGCGTGATCGAAACTAACTCATCGTTGTCGTCGTCAGATTTAAAATGACAGTTGATGACTCAGCTACATCACCAAGGTTTCGACGCTGGTACACATTCTTTGTTTATGATACATTTTGGCTACCATTTTCATTTTTCTCCAAAGTTGAAACTCTAAATTTACATTACTATATATCTTTTCATATCTATCCCACAAATCATTACAACAATACTCCGCTAGATTTAGGATTTCAAGCTCTCGAGAACATGATTTTGGATTCATATTTTCTTTTTTTGAATATTAAATTTATAATGTATTATCGAACTGTAGTCTAATCATATGGTAAATTGAAATTTTCAGTTGAAAAATATGTCAAAAGAATACGAGAATGTATATGATGTTTTTGATATTTTAAAGATAATTAGTTTGAGAGCAATTTGTGGGATGTTGTTAAAATATTAGTTATTTGTAAAATATTTTATTAAAATAAAGTTATGAAGCTCATTTGATATGTCTATTTTACCATCACCACATAAGTAAAATACTTTTTGATTATCTTAAAATAAAATAGAATGTTTCTACATCACCAAATAAGTAAAATATCTTTTGATTATCTTAAAGTAAAATAGAGTGTTTATGTATCTATTTTAGACATAATACATAAAAACAACTATATTTTGACTATTTTGCGATAGAATCGTCTAAATTGATAATTTTTTCTATGTCAATGAGTTTGACATGCTATATAACATTAAAGTGGTTATAATCAAACATTTTTATCAAAATATAATTGCTTTAATGGAATATTTAATACCAAAGTTAAAATTTAATCTTTTCACTAACATCGCTAGACTTTGACAAAATTTTATATTGTAACAATTTTAATCTGTTAATATCAAGTCATGGTATGTCAAAGTGGTCCACAAAGGAAAACCTATTAAACTTAGGTGCTTTTGTTTGACAAAACTGGAATATAGTTGTTAAACCTCAAACTTTGACAAAAAATTATATGACTTTTATGTAATTTGCCTTTGTGTATAAATAAATGCATATGAATACGTAGGGCTTTGTAAATCAAATGGGAAATGAATGGCAAGGTTCCTTCAGGGCGTTACAAATATAAATTCGAGATAGCAAGACCAACTAAATATTATGTTTCATTGTTTGAAATTTTCCCTCAAATTACAGTCTGTAAAGTCATTGAGTTCAAAAAAATCATAAAAATAATGTGTGATGCAATTAGACTCTCTATGAACCAACAACAAATGCATGTATCACCATGGAGAAGACATGAGTACGTGCATGCTAAATGGTTCGGGTCTTATAAGAGATTTACTAACACGTATTCAACTAAAAGTATTACAGACTCGAATATAGATAGCAAAAAGTTGTAAGCTTTTTGTCATTTTCGAAACAAAATTGCTATTAGAGTCAAAGAGAATAGTTTGGTCGGAGAGAATTTTGTTTGAAAGTTGGTAATTTGGCCATGGTTATGAATGGACCAACACAGAATGTTAATGTAATTTTTAGAAGCTAAAGAAGTGATTGTGTAGTGTAGAGAAGGGTAAAGTATGGATCAAAAATGATTATTGTGATTTAAGATCATAATAATCAATTTTTAGCATTTAATATAAAGTGATTAATTTGATATTTTTTATTAATGATGTTGACAAACCACATGTTGAGAATCATCCCTATAATTTTTTTTTTTTTTTGTCATATGACATGTTGCTCTTCTTCTTCAACTTGATAAATGTCAATTTGTGATAATTTTGAATTAATGTTTTTTTTTCACATGTTATTTTATAAGATTTATATTTTATTAAATTCCATATAATATTTTAATGTAATAATTGCAATAAATATAGTAATAAATAGATATCGATTTCATTAATAAGCTAACATTCTAATTTCAAAAAAATTAAATTAAAGTTTATTAGTTTTTTTTTGTTTATTTATTTAATTTACTTGTTTAAATTTAAAAGATAAAAAATATTTCAATTTTAGTAATTCATTATTTATATTATTTTCTTATAAATTCAAAGTTCTCAATTATATATATATATATATATATATATATATATATATATATATATATATATATATATATATATATATATATATATATTAACTTAACCCATATAATAAATGAATCTCACAATTATTAAGTAATATTTCATCGTAAAAAGGTTGAATATTGTATTCGAGAATACATTCACAATAAATAGTTATTTCTTAACCTTATAAATATTAAATACATATATTTACTGTGTACAAACTATCTGAGAAATACAACATAATAGCATGAAAAACATAATATTTTGATATATTTTAAGGTAAAATCTAACATTTTTTTACAATTTAATTCAAATGTGAGAATTAACATTATATGCTTATTTGCATCAAAGGTACAATATTTTGACTAATTTTTTAAATAAAAAACTTAATTTTTTTTATTAGCGGGATGAAAATCGATAATGCTGGTAAAAACTAAAAAGGGTGAAACTTTTTGAAAAATGATTTTTATTTTATTCGTAAAAATGTGATTTTTTTATTAGTTGATGAAAATCGTGGGTGATCGGTGGTCCAGGTGGAGACGTAGAGTATTTGACATTGAAGATACGTTGAATGTGGTAGGAGGATCACTATCGACGGCTCTTATTCACGGCACCACGGAATAGTCTACATCTGCCCGTACCTGATCTTTACCAATATATAAAACACTGATACAAAAGTAATTTTAGAGAGAGAGGGACCACGCCTAATTTGTATACGGAGAAACAGAAAATCGCCGACCACCGATACAACCACCGCCGATCCGTGCTAATAAGTCATACATGGAAGGTGTTGGAGCTCGACTCGGCCGATCCTCGACTCGCTACGGACCGGCTACCGTGTTTACAGGTCCGGTAAGGAAGTGGAAGAAGAAGTGGATCCACGTAACGCCTACCAACACATCCGCAGCCTCAAACAATAAGCATCATCATCATCAACATCAATCTAATGGAAACTCTTCTTCTAATGGCAACAATAACAATGCCTCAGCTTCTCATCTTTTGCTTTACAAATGGACGCCAATTCGTCAAGCTCATAACAGCTCCGCCAACAACAATAGCAATGGCGACGCCAACGAAGACGGTGGTGCCGCCGAAGTGGACGAAGAGCCGCCCCGCCGTAAGATGAAATACATTCCAGTACTTTTCCATCACCTCTCTTCTGAATTTTTGTTTTATCTAATTTGACTTTGTTCGATCTAAACTTTAGCTTATGTTTGTCCTTATGTGTGTATATATAATATATTATATTTGAAGAATACGTGGATCTAAATTTGACGAACAGCTCAATGCACATATATCTAGTTGATATAGAATAGAGTATAAATTCGTATAAGAAATTGAATCCAATTTGTACATGAGAATCTGTAGCCCTAGCTTAAGTAACAGCAACTTGTAATCCAAATTGAATCCAAAGTGCACATCAGAATCAATTTCCAAACCTTTTTTTAGGTTTAATCTAATAACACAATCTAAGGTTGCTATGATTATAGAACTGTTTTAACTTTTTTGTTTACTTTCACTTCAATTTGAATTATCCATGGTTGCCAAAGTATGTTGTTATTGGGGGTTGTTTTATTATGAGTGATGGTTGATCAATGATCAGATAGCTGTACTGGAGGAACAAAATAGCGAGGAACCAGAGGTGCAGGCTGATGAAGATAAACCTCAACCTGTTGAGAGTGACTCACTTGCTGCTGCAGATGATGAATCATCTTTGAAGAAGGAAAAACCTGACATCAATGATATGCCAATGGAAGAGAATCAGGTAATGCTCTGAACTCAACATATTGCATTCTTTGAAATTCAGGGAAATGAAAATGTATTCTCAGTCCTTTGATACTGTTTCAGGTTCCTGAGAATATTGATGTGGAAAGGGAAGACCTGAACAAAAGCAATGTGGGTTTAAGCCTGAATTTAAATGAAGGTGAAGGTGAAGGTGAAGGTGAAGGTGAAGGTGAAGGTGAAGGTGAAGGTGATGGAGATGGAGATGGAGATGGAGATGGAAATGGAGATGGAGATGGAGATGGAGATGGAGGTGAAGAATCTGAAGAAGCAAAAGACGAAACTAAAGATGATTGATTGATTGGATAGACTAGAGTGAGTAAAATACTACACAGGATGGATGAATTGTATTTTTTTTTTTAGAATTATTCTACTAACTCAAAGAAAAGAAATGATTGTGAAAATTCTGGAAATGAAATTTTATCAAAAGTGCATGAACTTTGACTTTTTTGGTACTAAATGGATAAGTTGTAGGATGTGTCAACTTTTGACCGAATCCAAGTTTTTCTGGACCCGACTTGAAGATTTTATGGTAGGATTTGATCTTTTTTTTTTTGTTTATAAGAGAAATGAAATTAACTTGTGATCAAAATACAAGGAAAATTGAAGATTTGATGTATGTGAGGATTTGATCCCACATTAAAAGTTGACTGAAAGAATTGATAGATGTGATGTATTTAAAATGGCAAAGGAACATAGAAATAAATGATCCTAAGATTCTACCAAAAAATGATATACTGATAAGTTTATAAATATTAAAAATACAATCTACATCTTAGTTGACTCGTGCATAAGTTATAACAAAAATTCAAACATCAGTTTGTATCTAATCTATTATTGGCGATATGTTGCAGCAACATATTACATATACCAACCCCATTATTCTAGTTTGTGTATAATGGACCATGTGGATACTTGAGAATAGACATGAATTGGAACATGAAAGTGCACATAGGAATCAGAATATGGAAATGTATTGAAGAAGCCTTTATTTTTGAGTTGCTTCCTCATTCTTTTCTTGAGTTCTTCTCTTTTGTTTTCATTTGGTTTTTAGGATTTTTAGGGTGTGACAGGTTTCTTGGTGCCCAAGGGCGAAAAAAAATTCTATTGTTTTTTACTTTACCTTTGTCTTTTATGGTTTAAAATAAACATGAACGTAAATGGGTTCTAACCAATTGACTGAATTCATATTTTGATGGAATTGTAGGATCGAATTGAATCCTGATTTCACGATCTCAAATGTGATCTTATGCTAAACTCAATCCTATTACAATATAAATCGCGTTTCATAGGTATGTTTGTAGGATCCTATATCTTAATCGAAATATTAACAACATTTCCAAGCAGATAACCAAATAAATCATTGTATATCTAAGGGGCAGGAGCCACCTATGTGGATGTTCCACTTAAATTTTTTCAAGAACAGTAAAATATTTCGAATTTTTTTTATATATAAGTACAACTCGAAAGTAAATTGGGCAGTTTTTTGGTATAAACTAAAAAAGCCTTTTAAAAGGTTTATTCACCTACATAGCCCAACTAAAAACAAGGCCAATGTCCAATAATATTGCCCAAGACAAGAGGTCACTAAGGTAACTGAGATTGAGGTGGGAGCTTCTGCCTTCTGGGAAGAAAGAAACAAAGCGCTCTTGTACTTCACCCAATCGCGATTCACGCAGGCTCTACCCACTCCCGTCTCCCAGTGTTTTTTCCGGCAGATTGGAGCGCCTCTGCCGGCTTCTGGTAGCTCCACACCTCCGGCGACTTCCCTCTCAACCTGCAAGAATGAAACAAGTAAGCATTGGTTATTTCAATTATTCGTCATTTTTCTAAAACTTGAAATTAGCAATTAGGCTTATTTTATTAGGGTTAGTATTTAGTTATTACTTTTTGTTGATTAGTACTTAGTTACTACTTCCCTCTCAGGTTTCAATAATGAAACAAGTAAACATTAAGCAACTTTAGGGTTTATTTCAATTGTTTGTCATTTTGATGAAAAAACTTGAAATTAGGAGTTAGGTTTATCTGATTAGTTATTACAGATTTCTATTTTATTTTGGGCAAGTTTATCTTAATCTAATTTTATCTAAAAACGCATGCTAAGGTGTGTATTCTAATACTGTTTAAAAATTGTTTATCAAAGTTTTTTTAACTTTATTTTTGTCCATGTCAGATAACCACTGAACCACGAGTCATTTAAATGCACTCATTCAAAGTCTAAGTAGTTAAAATTGTCCATTGTTTGTTAACCACTTTGGATTTAGGAATAGACAGTTACAGTTTAAAATCTGTCCAGAAGGTTGGTGATGACTGATGAGAGAGATGAAAATGCAGATTTGGAATGGAAAGACCTTTTCCTTGAGCAAAATTGCAATATCTTATCTTGTTTGGGTTGTTAACCAGACCTTGTTGTAAACTGTAACAGCATGCAAAAGCCTGAGTTTTGAATAGAATTAGAAATCATCATATGGATTCACAAACCCAAAATGCATCACTACAACGCCTCCAAACTGTCGAAAAGGTAATATATATATATATAATAACATCAATGAATAATAATACATTGATTGATTAAAATTTTGAAATGAAACGTAGTTTAACAAAAAGAATTGATTTGTTTTCAGAGGATTGTTAGAGTATTGGAACTTGCTGGTGGAGTGATGGAAGAATTCTCAAATCCTAGTGGACCAAGGAAGGAATTGGTCAACAATCACTGCAGTGAATTCATGCAATTAATCAAGGTTTTCTTTCACATTTCTTCTTATTTCTTTTTTCACTTAATACAGAAACTCAGTGAAATGATTGATGCGTGATGCCTCATTAAGTCTTTTAACCTTAATACAAAAAATTTCTCAAACATTATTCAGGATATACAAGTGACATTAAGGGAAGAAATCAAGAGTGCATGCGAATATCGTCCATTTGAGAAGTGTGATTACATTGCAAGAATATCAAATGAAATATGCTGCCAAAAAGTCCAATATGTCCTTCAAAAATTGGATGAAATGAGAGAAACAGTCGATGAATATCATCATGTAGCCTGATATGATATACTGCTCCTACTTTTTTTTTTTTTTTTTTTTTTAAATAATATAAAATGAGGGTAGAATGGTAATTTTACAAAGAGTCAAACCATTGATTGTCATCATTTCTCTCGTGCATCCAAAACAATGCTCATTGTTGCTTCACATTCATCCATTGCCATATTTTAGTGTTATACATGTTATGATCTCGAGTGAAAGTGGTATTACTATATTACTGTTCCTTGTAGATGGTGTACTTATCTAATAAAATATTAATTTTACGTGTAGATTCAAAATGTCACAAAACTTTGGATGAAATTAGATGAGATTCAAATATTTATCCAATAAAATTACAAAACGTATATTGAAAATTCTTGTAAATGTTAATTTTTGTAAGTGAAATATATTTTTAATACATATTAAAAATATTATAGCTTTTAAGATCTCAAGAGGGTAATACAATTATTTAGGCCTGATAATCGTGTCGTGTTTGGGTTGGCGTGTCGCGGGTTGGCGGGTCAAAATATGTCCACCCAAACACGATCCATTTAAATATACAGGTCATGGGTTGGCGGGTTTGGAACTTAAACTCATATATGACCCGTCAACCCATTTATTTATACGCGTTCCCAGTTTGGTGGGTTCGTGGGTCAGATTCCATAAATAAAATTGATAATTAAACTTGAATAAATTATTGATAATTGATGTAAACATATTCGAATTTTAGATATTTAATTCTTAAACATCCAAATGAACATTAAAAACATTCATAGAAACATGTTTAAACTAAACATTAATACAATCACAGATAATTCAAGTGCTAAAGTAATAGTCACAATTCTTATTTTCTTCTCCCAAAAAACAAAGTCAATTCTCCAACATCATTTCGATACTTGATTTCGATCATAAAGTCATAGAGGGGAGAGTGGGACACTGGAAGAGGGAGATATGCTTATATGCGATTTGATTTTGAGAAATACGAATCAAAATGTTAAAATAGTCAAATGGTTTATGAATTAATGATATATATTATATAATACTTATTAAATATTAATACTTGATACATAAATACATTTAAAAATAAAAAAATTCTTTTTATTAAAAATATAAAGTGGTTGACGGGTCAACCCATTTATTTTTTGAGAAACTCATATATGATCTGTTTAATAAATGGTTTGGCGGGTTGAAAAACTCAAGTCAAACCCATTTATATCGTGTCGTGTCGAAAATTATCAGCCTTACAATTATTAATACTTTTGATTTAAAAAATAAAACAAACGTTTAGTGGTATACCATAACATACATCATTGTAAATTGAAAATTAATATTAAGAGGCCATTGGGAAAAGTTGCAACAAATGTTAAAAAAATGTTTGAGTATATTGTAAAAAAAAAAAAAAAATCGTAACTTATCAATAAGCTTATTTGAAATAGCATTTTAAAAATCTTGTTTATATACACCAAATACATTCTGCTAATCATTGAAAAATATTGCCAAAAAATGTCTCAATCACTTTTGGTGGATTCTTAATCCCTTACATACAATAAGATTCATCTAAGCCGAAATTCATGCCTCTTAGACCAATTTGATTCCTTGGTGTTATTTTTGTTATCGTGAGCATAAAAATAATTACAAATATTCCCAATTAAACAATATGCCTAGCTTGTCTCAACTTATATTTTATCATATTCCCATCGGTTTTTTGACTGGGTTATGATTCTTTGGGCTCATCGTCATTATAAGATGATTATGAATGGCTTACAAAAGGTTAAAAAGTTTGTAGTAAAAAGACAAGGAATATAACAAAACTAAAATGCTATTGTTAATTGTGGACAAAACTGTAAAATTAGTCCTTGTGGTTTGCAAAAAACTTTGGATGGGATCCAAAAAGTTTTCGACTTCCATGGAAGATCTAAAATCAAGAATTTTCTTTGGTTTTAGTCCTTGAAAATTTGAAAAGACTATTTTGTCCTTATTATTTATTTTTTTCATTTTCTTTATTTGTATTAATTGTTTTATAATTAAAAAAAAAAAGAAATAGAAAAAAAAAATGGGCCTACAAACCCCATCCACCCTATATTTCTTTCTCGTGTTCTTTCCCTCTTCATCAAAAAGACATTGACTTTCAGATCATCTCCATGTCTATCACCCTGTCGAGAAGACCTAATGATCGCCACCCCTTCTTGTCGGTGAGTATTTTACCTCTCATCGCCTCCATTCCTCGTCCTTTATGAGCCAGTGGATTTACATATTAGAGCTTGAAACCTGCCTTAACCTTAATGAAGTCGACAACGTTGAATCTAGTAACAAATCGGAAATCTTGAAACGTTCTAACTTGTGGCGACATACTCATCTCTTTCCCTTAGCCGCCAGAATATTTTAGGGTTTCAATCCAGATTTTGATTTTGTGTCTTCTGCAAATTTCTAGGTTGGTTTAGAATTTTTATTTTGATTTTCTACAATTCTTATTCATCATTGTGTTTATCATTTTCTACGATTCGTGTTCATCACTGATTTTGTGTTTTCTGCCTACTTATGGAAGAAACCCACTAAGTCAATTTTTTTGGACATCACAGGTTTTCTTCAATGGTTTTTAAACATGGATTTTGCGAAATTTTATCATTTGGCTACTGTTGCTCGATTTGTGGTTATCAAGAGCTTGAAGAGTTTGTGTTGGGATGCACTTTGGTGTCTGCACTGTAATTTTTCGGATTATAATACACTTAATTAGGATGAATTTTGGTGTTCTAATTTTAAGTGTTTTAGGCGTAATTGCAAATAAATTTGATTTTTTTGTTGGCCTTTGCTTCTACAATAATTTTATACATTTCGATGAATGGTAAACTCATTGAAGAAGAAGGTTGTTGCAGATTCTGGGTTTTTTGTTCATATTTTGTGTGAGTTTTGATTTGCAGGTGATGTGTGATGAAGAAGAAGATGGGAAAGAGAGTCAAAAGAAAGGAGAGAAAATGGGGTACGGTGAAGAGGAGGTGGGTGAGATTTAGTTTTTATTTTTTGTTTTTAATTATTTAAATACCAAAACAAATCAAAAAAATAGAAAAAAGAAATGAAAAGGGTAAAATCGACTTTTCAAGTATATTATGGACCAAAAACACAGAAAAACATTGAATTTGGATCGTTCATTCAAGTTGAAAACTTTTTGGATCCCATCCAAAGTTTTCTGAAAACCACAGGGACTAATCTTACAGTTTTGTCTTAATTGTGTTATAAAAGTCGTTACAATATAACGAGTTTGATAATTCTTAATTGTGTTATATATGATTGAGTCAATATCTAATTGGATTAGACCTAACTTTTATCACACTCACTAAAACACATATCAAAGACCATCAAATTGTCTCAATCTAACCAAATCAACCACTTATACTTAAAAATGTGGTTCCTTCTTAATCTTATTGCTTACGGATATAGCATCCATATCCGGTAGTAATCAGCTATGCTTTTCTCAATACTACTGTACAACATTTATTGCGTAAATTACAAGTCATCCGATACAAGTAAGATTCTGTAACCTAAATCAAACAAATTAAAATATGTTACCTAAAGCAACCGAATGAAAATAAAATATAGTCAATTATTTTATCACATTAACATGAAAGTAAAATAATGCAAAGACGTGAGACTTTTCCCTTTGTTTTCTTTGGAAAGGGGAACAACTATGTCCTTGAGCAGCTACTTTATGGTATCAAATTCATTGCAATGTCGGATTATACATTTTATATTTTATATGTATAAGTAAGACGTATGACTATTAGCTATAAATACTTAAAAGTATTCATAATATTTAAAAGGTTTAAGAATCAGAATCTGTATCATTGATATCTTAAAATAATTCGTTTTAAAAACAAAATAACGATAATTAAAAAGGTTACGGAAATTATTCGAATAAAGCAGTGTTTATTTATACGTCATAGTTTTATGATTTATAGAGTTATATAATACAACATTTTAAAACACATATTGTTATATATAATAAAACATTGTTGTGTACGAATCAACTCCCAAAAAAATATTAACAAGACTTTCACTAAATTATGATGTATAAATTAACTTTTTTTTGCAATGTATGACTATAACAATACATTTTTTTATAATCATTTAATACATATATATTTTTATATACGACTAAAACCTATCGTATATAATTTTTTCTGGTCGAATATCCAAATGATTTTCAATAAAAAAAAAAGAGTTGATAGATATATAAACCCAGATAACCCCTATTATTTAGGGGTGAGCAAAAAACCGAACCGACTACAAAAAAACCGACAAAACCGCAATAAACCGCAACCGAAAAACCGAAACCGATGCAAAAACCAATGGTGCGGATTTAATTTTTGCAAAAACCGAAGGTCAACGGTGCGGTGCGGTTTCTATCCTAAAAACCGGTCCATCAAAACCGAACCGCACCGCAAGCGTGTATAGTAATAAATCAATCAATGTATATTATATACATTCTATTTAAAATAGTTATAAACGATAATATATTTATTATATGTTTATTTTGTGTTTGTATAAAAATATATGGGGTGCAAAAGAAATGTTCTATTGTTAGCCAAACGTACTAATCGATTACATGTAATAAGCTTGTAACAAATTAACTCAAAATCAACCAACCTTCAATCATTAATTAGTTTGTGAGAGTGGTCACAAGTTGTATTTTAAGCGACTTACAATTTTTGATTATCTAATTTTGTTTTGAACTGAAAATGAATGTATTAAAAAAAACAGCACAATACAAGCTTATATGCACATGGTTTTTAGTTCTTACAGTTTTAAAAAACCGCACAAAAAAACATAAAAAAAAATTGCACCAAATTCTTAACATGGTTTAAAAACCGAAACCGCACCGATACAAACCGAAACCGCATTTAAAAACCGAAAAACCGAACCATTGCAAAACCGCACCCAACGGTTTTAAGAATGCAAAAACCGCACCATGCGGTTTGCGGTTCGGTTTGATCTGAAAACCGCACCAAACCGCACCATGCTCACCCCTACTACTATTATAATGCCCA